CCCCACCTGGGCGCTGGTTAACCTTAGGTATAACCATGAAAGAACGGTATACACACAATTTATAATAACAATGCGTTCTTATAGCATGCTTATAAGTGTACGTACATTTTACGAAGCTTTCACGATTTTTTTCCGCTATATGTTTTACGTCGGGATCAGTTGTAAGCCCTCGAATAGTTCTGCTGACATATGAACTAACTAATTTGCAATTGGCGATTCTTACACAAAATGTTTTTTAACCCGCGCCCTGCTGGGGGGGGGGTGTTTGAACACCCCCCCTTGTGGTTTTTCGCAAATATCTCAAAAACGGCGGCGCGAAGCGCCGCCGTTTTTGGTACACCTTATCATACATCAATTCTACACATGTTGTGAAAATTTCAGACCAAGGTCATTCAAGGTCAGGTCACCAGGTCACTTGAAATGACCTCACCTCATAAAAAGTTTCAATGTCTGTCATAGCTACACCGAGTGACCGATCGCTTTGAAACTTTCAGCGATTGCTAAGAGCAATAGCATGTACAAAATGTATATCTCAGAATTTTGATATCGATGACCTAAGGTCAGGTCAATTTTGCGACCTCCCCATTATAAGTCAATGGGAGAAAATTGAAATGCGCCTCTTTTGGACGAAAGACATTATAAACACTCCCAAACACCGAATTACAAGTGGCTTAGACACACTGAACATGAAATTGGTGTCCGTGACCCTTGTTTATGCCCTGAGGTCATCTTAGGTCACGAATGGTATCTAATAGTTTTTCGCAAATAACTTTTGATAGAGGCATGCTAGAGCGATGAAAACGCCTTAGATGTGTTCAGCTCGACGATACGGATCGACTGATATGCAACATGACCCTTTCCGGTCAGGTCATGACCTTGACCTGAGGTCAAATTTTCAAGTTGACCTTTCAAGGTCAAGTTATAGTTCATTCGATGCGTCTTGACGAGAGGAACACGATGCCGGTAAAAGTAAGCTCGTACAGGACTTGGGTCAAAAGTTATTGCAGAAAAACTGTTTCCGAAAAAATCGGCTATTTTTGCAGTTTTTGCCCCCTGCAGGCAAAAACCGTTGACGTTAGGTCAAATCTGAGAGAATTACTCAGAAAGGGCGTTAATAGGGCTATCGAATGCGCTTTTCCGCGGCACTATAGCTCTATTGGTTCCCGAGTTATGCGTTGGCTTCTTGGAAATTTTCGACATTGGACCTGGAAATCGGCGAAATTTTGCCTTCAATGACCTCTGGTGACCTGACCTTTGACCTGACCAAAAAATTGACCGAAGTGATTTCGTCATTATTTTTTACGCTCTTTCGAACGCCGCCTTCCGCGTATCGCTGCGTGGCCCAGGAGCCGAGTTACAAGGGGGGGTGTTCAAACACCCCCCCCCCCCCCCAGCAGGGCGTGGAAATCCAGGACCCCCAGCCGGGCGCGGGTTAATTCAATGTCAACTTATGGTTCACTCGACGCGTCTCGACGAGAGAAACGCGTTGCTGTAAAATCAACGCAAAACAAGCCTGTTCTGTCAAATTTTGAGTTTTGCCCTCTGGAGTCTGGAGGCTAAACCGCAAGTCTGAGGACAATGCTCAGAAAAGCCTTTGAAAAGCTATCGAATGCCCTTTCCCGCGGCGCTGTAACTTTATTTGTTCCCGAGGTATGCTGCACCGATTTGTGATAAATTGTCGAAAAAGGAAAAATAGATTACCTATATTTTTACGTTTGGTGACCTCCAATGACCTAAGCTGATCGCAAAATAAGGTTTGTGATGTAAAAGGATCTTATAACGAGTTATTTTATGAGTCTTTTCAGCTTTCTCACTTTCCGAGATAACCTGGTGCGGTCAAATGCCTACCGGCCACCATGGCGGAGTTGGCAGAGACCCCCACCTGGGCGCTGGTTAACCTTAGGTATAACCATGAAAGAACGGTATACACACAATTTATAATAACAATGCGTTCTTATAGCATGCTTATAAGTGTACGTACATTTTACGAAGCTTTCACGATTTTTTTTTCCGCTATATGTTTTACGTCGGGATCAGTTGTAAGCCCTCGAATAGTTCTGCTGACATATGAACTAACTAATTTGCAATTGGCGATTCTTACACAAAATGTTTTTTAACCCGCGCCCAGTTGGGGCTCCTGGATTTCCACGCCCTGCTCGAGGAAGGGGGGCGGGGGCGGTGTTTAAATGAACACCTCACCCTCCCCTCTAACTCGGCTCCTGGGCCACGTGGCGATAAGGGGTAGGTGGAGTTCAATAGAGCGTGAAAAACAATGCCGAAATTACTTCGCTCACGTTTTTGGTCAGGTCAAAGGTCAGGTCACCAGAGGTCATTGAAAGCATAATTTAGCCGAATTCAGGTCGAAAGTTGACAATTTTCAACACACCGGAGCAAAACTCGTAAACCAACAGAGCTTCAGCGCCCCGGAAAAGCGGATTTGATAGCCCTATCAACGCTCATTTTGAGTATGTATTTCTCTCAGAGTCAACGGTTTTGCCTACGGGGGGGGGGGGGGGGGGGGTAAAAACTGCCAAAATAGGCGATTTTTTGCGGGAACAATCTTTCTACAATAACTATGACTCAAACCTTGCACGAGCTTACTTTTATCAGCATCGTGTTCCTCTCGTCAAGACGCATCGAATGAACTATAAGTTGACCTTGAAAGAAAAACTTGAAAATTTCATCTTAGACAGATCAAAGTCATGATCTGACAGGAAAAGGTCATGTTGCATATCATTCGATCCGTATCGTTGAACTGAACACATCTAAGGCGTTTTCATCGCTGTAGCATACCTCTATCACAAGATATCCGCTGAAAAACTGTTAGATGTCATTCGTAACCTGAGATGACCTCAGGGAGATAAGGAATGGTGACGACGGGTGCTATTTTCTACTTTTTGTGTCATGTCAACTTGTAATTATGTGTTTGAGATTGTTTGAAGAATAAATTTACCCAAAAGAGGCGCATTTCAATTTTCTCCCATTGAATTATAATGGAGAGGTCGCATAATTGACCTGACCTCAGGTCACCGATATCGAAATTCAGAGATATAATTTTTGTACAAACTGTTGCTCTTATCAATCGCTGAAAGTTTCAAAGCGATCAGTCACGCAAGCATCGAAGCCTTATGAGGTGAGGTCACTTGACGTGACCTGGTGACCTGGCCTTGAGTGACCTTGGTCTAAAATTTTAGCAACATATTCAGAAAAGAAATACTTGATAAGGTGTGCCAAAAACTGCGGCGTTCGCGAAAAACGCAGGGGAGGAGTTAGAAAATCCGCACCCCCGGCAGGACGCGTTTTTTTTTGCGTTATTTGCCTTGATACTTGGCAGCTCCGTCCGACCAGTGCAGTGCAGTGTGTTCCTAAAGAGGCACAGTATGCATGGTGGTCTGAAAAGTGCGCTTTTATATTCCAATACGTGCGTCCCTTGCACTAATAGCAGGCTAATTATAGGCTCAAGCTAATAAGCGCACCGGTATGCCAAAGGATAGGTTTATAAGACCGTATTACCAAACATTTTGCCTACCAACTTCCCCTAATAACTAGCCTCCCTTTGAAGGTAACCTCCTTGTGTCCTCCACAGGTAACAGCATCTGCGACCTGCGCTGCCCCGGTGGACAGAGGTGTGAGCTGCAGCTGGTGCAGAGCGACCACCTCGTCCACTACTGGCCGGTGTGTGTGGACACAGTACCCGTCGCACCCACCGAGCAGCCCCCGCCAGCGACACCCACCGAGAGCCCGCCGCTAAACGGAACCAGTCCCGCCAACTGCGCCCGCAAAACCTGCCCGGCTGGCTTCACTTGTCTCCTGCAGGAAGTGCAGTGCGTCACCGAGCCCTGCCTTCCGCAGCCGATTTGCACGCCGGACCGTTGTGCAAAAGCCATATGCCCGGTCGGCTATAAGTGTCTTACCGCGGTGATACCGGGTTCAAATCCCCACTGCGGCGACTTTCCACTGTGCCGGTATAAGCCGACCTGCGTGCCAGTCGCCAAGCCCAAGCCCGGTTTCTGTCCGCTGGCGCCGACCCGGGACCAGGCGCTGGCCCGGTGTGAGCTGGACACGGACTGCGCTGCTGACCTGCGCTGCTGTCCGTCCGCGGCCGGCGGCGGCCGGTGTGTGGCCCCCCTGACCGACCCCTGCGGCGGCGCGTGCCCGGGGAGGTCACCCACCTCCCCCGGCGTGTGTGTGGTCCGTAACGGGCGGGCCGAGTGTCGGGAGAACCCCAACTGCGTGCCGGGCAGCTACTACTGCCACCGGCACACCCAGTCCTTCTGCACTGACGGCGCCGACCTGGTGGGCACCGGGATCCACTGCTGAGGCTCGCGGCACCGGGATCCACTGCTGAGGCTCGCGGTGCTCAGTTGTTTGTGCTTTCCTTGTGTGTTGTCGTTTATTTGTTAAGTAATGTTCTTGCTGTATTTAGGCGTAATAAATATGAATACCATGTTATGTTCATGCTTTTATATCTGGTGACAAAGAATCCGGCACTTCATTTCATCACTCGACATGCTTCACAATATGCCCCATTAGCCCCACTCGGGTCGATCATTTTCATTATGGGTCGTTGCATATAAAATTTTGTATACCTAACGAAGTTTCTACAGGTCCCTTGCCCGGTACTGTGAAGCATCAGGTGGTGTGGGTAAGCGCAACACCGTCGAAACCGACGAACTGGTTATCTCCCTTTTCATCGACGTCGACGTTATCGCCGCTATCGTTCGCGTCCATATGCCGTCGGGCGGTGGCGGTGTTGCGGCGGAGTCGGGGTCGGTGTGGGCACTGTTCGGCAGCGGGGGCAGCTTGCCGGGCCCGACAGACAAGGCGGTGGATATCGCCGTTCCGAGGACCGCGGGGCATTGCTAGACGACCGATATCAGAGCTAGAGTCGGTGCGGGGGAGCAGACTGGCACAGTGGACCGGCAGCTTCCGAACGCCACCACTGAAGGGGGCTGCCTTCGTCACCTACCTTTGTCGCCCCGGGTCGGCCGATCACTACAATGGCCTTCCCCGGCCGCTCCAGCTCCACGAGAAAGGTGGGTTCACGTCAGCGTGACTCGTCCAGGTAGAATTACCTCCTTGGTGAGCTTCCTGTAAAATGTATATCCGCTAGTTGTGCTATTCTAGAGACCTCGTGACGTGAATGTTAGTGGGAGCAATACGCTACTCACTCGTATTTGTCACTCGCACAACATTGCAAGACATATCGATTACATTATTCAACCTTCGTTCAGCGTTGAGTTTCTCGACCCACCCTTTTCTCCGATTTCAGGCGCCAGCCTGCGGCGAGGGTGAGGTAACCAGTACGACCGGTGATGCCGCTCTCGTCAGGTAAGACAGGAAAAGGAATTAGAGAAATGATTCCATTGTGCTAATATGCATGATCACTGATCAGTGACCACACACATGTAGGTATTTACATATGCAGCAAAATAACCAAGTACAGCAGTGCCGTGACACTGTCAGGCACACAAAGGTACAGGCTGAAAGTTGTAATAAACCCTGCCTACCTTCCGACGAAAATTCACGCCGTCGACCAAAAGCTCTTATAGTTATGACCGTCTATTCTCGGTTCCCGCCACTACGAAATGACCTGAGCTGGTGACACAAAAGTAACCTCCGCTGGGTCACTACGTAAAGGCGGTGTCGTCTGTTCCTTTTCAGAGCCCCGAGTCTCGCTGGCACCCCTCGGACCACCTCGCAAAGGACCCAGCGGACCAAGGCGAACGCCCGAGAGCGCAGTCGCATGCACGGCCTCAATGCCGCCCTGGATAAACTGAGAAGGTAACGGTGCCGTTGACAATTACTACACATGTCTGGCGGGATATTTTTGCTCAATTTCTAGTAACAACCATGAGTGGTTGGTAAGTGAGAGCAAATTGTTTCTTCAATGATTGGTTCAATAAGATAGCGCGCAATTTCTAAAACACGCTGACGGCGAACTTCATGACCCTTTTTAATCCCTTCTTCACAGGCACATCCCCTTCGCTCGCAACACCAGCAAGCTGTCCAAGATCGAGACCCTGCGGATGGCGCGCAACTACATCTTTGTCCTCTCGGAGACCCTGTCCACGGGGGAGCCGTTCGACCCCATCACCTACGCCAGCGTCATGTCGCGAGGGCTGAGCCACGCGACCGCCAATCAGATCAACGGTTCACTCAACCTGCGACCCTGCTCGGTCAAGGTCAGTCGAGGTCAGGTCATCAGCAGCGCATTGGTACAAATGCTCAAGCGAAACTTTTAAATGTGTGCACATTTATGATTTTAAAGGTGTGCACATTTATGATTATAATTAGGGCTGCGGATCCGGAGTCAGTCTAGTCAGCTGTTGTGAAATTATCGAATTTCATGCATGCTCCTGCTTGCCTTCTTGCTTGCTTGCCAGAAGGTCTTGCCCCCGTTTCCCGATCCTAAAAGTCGAAGCGTCCTCTTATCGAAGCCGACGCCACCCTCTGTTCGCAGCTGCTGCCGCCGCTGGAGTCGTACCGCGCGTCTGGGTACGAGGTCGCGGAGCCGGCACCCCCTTCCGCTTCAGCGGGGGCGTCGCAGATGGAGTGTCACGTGATACCTGAGCTCTGGTCAGACGGCGATCAGCTGACCGCCTTTTCGGCCGCTTACTGAGGTCCAGCCAGGCGCAACCGACATAGCCGCTGTTCAACCCTGCAGATGCGCTTACTCTATGGGTGCTGTTATACTTTAATTATCCAAATCAACATCCGTAGCATGTTAGCGTAAACTTCAAGAAAAAAACTTTTTGAGCGCTAAGGAGTAATGAGCGTAGACAAAGACATGCTTATCAGTGATGTGACTATGGCGTTTCACGATTTATGCAAGAGGCTTTTACTTAGGGCAACCCGTCTTTTCCATTATTCTGCAATTTGCCATGAAAGAGAGTCCTATACGTCAGCCGTCAGCGTAGGGTTTAAATAATTCCTTGGGTGATTCCGAAAGTGAAAAGTTTGGACATTCAAGTTTTATTTTATTTTATCAAGCTTTTAGATACCTATCAACATTTGTTCAGCTGTTCGTCGGAAATAGGTAAAGTGCAGCTGTCCGCCAAATGTACTGGTGTGTCATACGATTATGCTGCATCGTTTTCATGGCCTATGTAAGGACAAGCGTCATTATACGAAATCATGTTTTTGCGAGTTTCAATCCGTGCAAACTTTTTGTATGCAATTCTAAGCGTTTTATGTATCCGCTGTGTGTCAAGAAACAGCAAGAATTGCTTTTGTTTTATATGCTTTTTCGGGCCTTTCCGCCGTATATTCGGGCTATTTCCAGCCCGACGGATACAGGGTCGGATCCAGAATTTTCTTCGGCCGGGAGCCCATGGAATAGGGTCGGCATGTTTTCCACCTACTAAGAGCGGCAAATGCATGATTAGAGCGCTTGAAGTGAAAATTGAAGACGTCAACTGTCTCTTTCGATTCCTCTGATGTTGTTTATGGATAGGATAGTGATTTGATAGTGCTGCGGCGCCCCGGTTCGCCGCTCAGCAGGGCGGCATTTTTCCGGCTTGGGGCTTTAGCCCCCAAAGCCCCTCTCCTGGATCCGCCCCTGGTGGGATAAAGGGTCCGTGAAGATATAAAGCTGCTAGTTCGCCAACAGGCTGGCGCATCGCCGCACTATGGGTCCGATGCAGGATTTAGCTCGCCAAAAATAATTGCCTGCTATACTGGCTGCTATAATGGCTGCTACAATACCGGAGGATGGAAGATTAAACATTCGAAATGGCTTTTGCATGATCTCTGACATGTACCGTGTGGCACGTGACGTGTGACGTGTGCACCTATTGGGTTTATAGGTGCACACGTAAAACATATAAATGTTTTTATGCACACATAAAAATAACGCTGGGCATTTTTATGTTAGCCGTATTCAGGGTGCTTTCTTTATGCTGCTTTGAGCTTTCTACAGGATGCATTCATGCTGTCTTTTACAGCATGAATGTAATGTAAATCAAAGGTAGTTATAATGTAAATCAAACAATGATATACCTATTATAAGCCTTTAGTCTTCCCACACAACGGAACATTTACCTACCCTCGTATAGTACCGAAAGGTAATATGCAGTGGGATCCGCTGCCGAGTCACCACTGCCTCCTCACTCATCGTGATGATTGGGTGTAATTACCGAAAGGTAATATACATCTGTGATTTGTTACTTTAGCATAAGAAGTGTCTTCTTTTGTTATGTGCATTTTGAATTGTGTACCCCGTGCCGGCGCTGGGCTCGCCAGCCGGCCGCCGAGCAGAGCTGCCGCGCGGCCCTGCGGCACAGCCTGCGTTCAGGCGCGCGCGCATCGTGATTGGTCGGTTGAGTCACGTGGCTCGAGCTGTAGTCGGGTTAGGTCGCCTTGGTGCGGGGAGTTGGGCTCCACCTTTGGACACGGCGGTGTGTGTCGCTGGATCGTAGTGGAAGGATCGGTCTGCCCGGCCGTTTCAGAAGCCCAGATCCACAGATTCATGTATAAACGAGTATAAACGATAAACGAGTGTCTGGAAATCGGTAGTCGGTCTGCCTGACTGTCTACCGGAGTAAAAGGATACTCGTTTATACATGCGTCCGCAAAATTAAGGGATCTGTCTGATCTGCCGGTGTCTGTAACAGATTTGGACCCAATGGGTCCCAACCCACAAATTGTCATATATATTCGGCCCATTTAAGCTGGCCGACGATTGTATCTTGTTCTGGGGCTGATAGGCTCGGTTACCCTTGACCATTCCGCAGCAGTCGCTGTTCATTGTTTACTGGGTTCATTGCAATCTGGTGTCGCTGCTATTTGCAATAATAACCAGAGATGGGGAAAACCTTTGTTCTCTGAATCACAATCAGCAATAGTGTAAAGGAACGAAATCGTAACATCATTAGACATCACAGTTTCTGTGTGTAATGAAGAACACAAAGTATGGCCTTGGTATATTGATTAATATCACAAACCTATTGCACTATCACTGTCAAGTTTCCTTGACGATGCACCTGACGCGTCTACGGCAGACCCACCTAAGGCGCCTCCAAGTCACGGCAGCTGCTGTCGCCGGATGTCCGGCTGTCGTTCTGTGGCAGTGTCGGCTCAGCCAACAGAGCGCGGGCATCTTTCATCAGGAGCGGCATCCGGCTGCTGGCCCTGGCTTGGCGACGGGACGAGGCGCTCTTGGCACTAACCACAGGGTCGCTCATGATTATGAGCCGCCCGAAGGCGTCGGCCATGGTGTGCGGGCGGCTGTCTCGGCGTGCCCTCTGCAGGCGATAGAACTTGTTTGTTCCGACCCTCCTCTGCCTCCTCACTCATCGTGCTTATTGGCAGCTTGGCAGCAGGCACTGCTGGACGACTGTAGTCTGTAGTCGCATGTACCAGGAGACGATGCAGGGTGGTAAGCATCGGGTACCAGCTGTAATGCTCGACGTAGAGCTCTGCAGTCTTGTTGCAGTAGGCTTCCAGTGACTCGGGTGAAAGCGGAAGCCAGCTGCTGACGGCCTACAGCACCACACGGATACGACGGACGAGATGCTCGTTGACTCCAGTGGCGGCAGCGAACTTGTCGGGGTTCTGGGACGCTCTCCGCGTAGTTTTGCCGCCATCGCTGTTGCCACTTCCACCTGGTCTCGGCTCGTCTGCGCGGAGGCCGAGTGAGGTGAGCATGCGCTTCTGGACGTCCGTCTTTCTCTCCTCCACCTACTTTCGATGCTTGTCAGTGTGGACCTGCCACTGTTCGATTGGCAGCCGGTAGCTGATGTGTAGCACAGCTTCAAAGATGCGGATCCAACAGTGCAGGCTGCTGAGTCCATATTCCAAGTCAGTGACCGGCAGGCGGTTAACCTCGTCCCAAGTTGTTCACGTTTCTCGGTGCTGCGCCGCACATGCTGCATCTCTGTGCAGAAGTGGTGCGGGTGCTGGCGCTCACTACCTTGTCATCAATCATTGACATCTGCAGCATGCATCGACACGTCACCCCAGCGTTTTCAGCGCCCAGCGGACTGTCCCGCTGTGCCAGACATTTCGCCCCATCTCCTGTGACCAGCTGTAGGGGCATCAGGGATGTCACCACAAGCTTGTCTCATAGCCACCAGTTTGCTGCCACTGGCTGTGGCCGGCACTGCTGTCCACACCCCGCTTACAGTGACAGATGAGATTCAAGTCTCGACCATCCCTGTGCCAAGGCCATCTATAGAAGGTACAGTCACTCCCCCGTCGACCAATCAGAGACAGATCCTGAGTGACGTCATCCCTGATGCTCGCAAGGGGTACTCCATTACTTTGCAACGTAAAAATGACTAACTTCATTTGAAGATTATTGATGGCACTCTGCACATACCGCTCAGCCGTTGATGTCAATGGAAAGCCCAACTAATTTTCCAGCGACAAAAAAGAGCAGCAATATGCTAAGAAATGGCCGGTTTTGAAGATATAGACGATTTAAAAACCCTCTGCAGCAGCAGGAAAGCAACGTAAAAACGCATCGAGCTTATATTTTTTACTATGGATAAATCATTTTTCAGTAAGTTTTTAGATACGGTATAGATTCAAGTTACAACTTTATTACAATATTTTCATTACTTGAAAATTTAAAAATAATATTTTCAAAAATGGCAGCTGTTGGTAAGTAGCTTGGGAGTGATTGTGGCGCACCACGCCATTAATTGTCCTGAGGCCCCCTTATGATGTCATCAAAAGTGGAGTGACATGGGCCTGCCCTGTGCTTGAAGTTTTCCACTACGTCGTTTTGTACCTCCTGTAGTCTTTCGGTGGTGTGGTCCAGCAAGGATTGGAGCTTGACCTGAGCGAATGCCGGAGTGACTTCAATGCTGTCTTCAGGTGGCATGCAGTTGGCCTTTGGTGTGTGGACTCGATCATAGGCGGCGGAACGGAGGGGGGGGGGGGCACCGTGCCCCCTTGATTTTGCCACTTTAACATTAGCCCTATGGGCGTTGCATGGAAAGAATGGGACCAAGAATCGGAACTGCCCCCCGTGATTGAAGGTGGTTTTAGCAGTGATTGAAGGTGTTCCGCCGCTACTGGACTCGATGGTAATTGGGATACAAGTCGGCCCCACGCGATTTTGTCTCCATCCTCAGGTGAAGGCACTGTTCTTTGATGAGGTTGATGTCCACAAGAAGCGCTAGAGCGTCCTCTGGCGTGCATTGGGTGATCGAAACATCAGGCTTCGCCAGTTTCTCTGCAATAACTGGATCGCGAGTTGGAGATGCAATGCAACCGCCTGGACGAGCCGGGCAGATAACCGGCGGCCATTCCCCTGAAGGTTTGAGGCAGTGGCAAAGACCAGTGTCCCTGAGCTGGTTTCGTGACGCAAATCCTCACTGTCTCCCTCAGCTTGCTGCGGTGGGACATCTCCGCAAACGGTACCGGACGGCGGTTCCTGCCGTCTGCCGATGACTGACGGCAAACAGGCTCCGACAGGCAGAATGTCAGCTTGGCCCGTTCTTGATTTTTACGTAGAAATCGGACTCTTCTGCGATATGCGGCCATCCATTTTTCTTTTAACCTGCTCAACAGCTTTCTCAGGGTTCGAGAGCAGTCAGTTGAGCATTTAACCCTCGCCCCGTTGGGGGGGGCCATTTTGGCCCCCCCTGTGGTTTTTCCTGAATAGCAAGAAAACGGCGGCGCGCAGCGCCGCCAAATTTTCAGTACCTTTCTGGGCATCAATTTGACACCTTCACACCAAATTTCAAGTCTTAGGTCACCTTAGGTCAGGAGTTATTGAGGTCAAACTGAGGTCATGTTCGAGCAAAAGTGAGCAAAAAACATGCAATCTTGAAACGCTCACCAAATCTACAGTTATCAAGCAATTTCAAAGTTCTTTATATGGTCTAATAGACAAAAAGCGGCGCTACAAAACTGCTATCTCGGATTTTCAAAATTTTGGGTTTTTGACCCAAAAAATTTCAAAAAAGTGATTTTTTTTAGAAAAACTAAAAAAAAATCCAAAATTTTTCCGAATTTCGAAAAAACCGGAATATATGTGATAGTCCCTGCGCTCTTCTATATACATACCAAATTTCAGATCGATATCTCGTTTTTTGGCCAAGTTATAGCGAAAAAACTGTTCAAAAATGATGACGTCAAATTTTTGAACTCAATTTTTAGCGATTCTAGACCTCGTACGGCAAAACAAAGACCACCATTGAACTCCCCGTGACAAGTTGCATCGATTCGATACCCATTTTATGCAAAAATATCAACTTTGAAATTTGACCTTATTTGACCTGACCTTGACCTGACCTTGACCTGACCTTGACCAAAACGTGACCTAAGCTGGCCCCAAAGGCTGCCTGACCCACATAATCGCATTTGTCATGTAAAATGGACCATAAAACATGTATCACACGACACTTTCATATTGTGACCCCCCAGTGACCTGACCTCAGTGACCTGACCTGGTATCAGTGACCTCAAATAGCAAAATATGTGTTTGAAGAACATTTCCCCATCGATGATTTTCAATGAAATGCATTTTACTCGATTTTACAACGCATTTCTTGAAATGCCTGTAAACGGTGAAAATTGGACCTTTGACCTGACCTGTGACGTCATCGGTTTGACCTAGGTCAATAAAATTGGGTCACAAGGTAGTTCCCTGATAGGGCTATCCAACACCGTTTGCCGCTTGTCGCTACGTTGCGTGGTCTCGAGATCTTAGGGGGGGGGGGGCCAAAATGCCCCCCCCCCCAACGGGGCGCGTTGCTCGGCAGAGCCCAACGGGGCGCGGGTTAAAAAACGGGCGATACTTGCTAAAAATCCTCTATTTGAACCAGCCCTACACCATTAGGACTGGTGAGGACAATGTCTAGTATGACCAGCAATACACATTGCCCATCCGCTGCTGTTTTGAAGTGGTCATAAAAAGTTAGCGGACGTAAATATACGCGCTTTCGCTTCGATCTTCAAACCGAAACTACCCACTGACCGGTCAGGTCAGGCCACCCGAGGGCGCGGTCGCGTTCATTGACTTGTGTTAGAGCGCCCGGCATTTGGACCGCCTACGGCCTACCCGAAAGAACAGTTCCGGGTTTTTAACAGAATTATAGTTCGTTTTTCTTAACCCGCGCCCCGCTGGGGGGGGGGGGCAGAATCTGCCCCCCCTCCCGTTTTTCGCCAATAACTTCTAAACGCGTTACGCCAGCGACGTCAAACTTTCAGTACCTTATCATACATCAATTTAACACGTTCCCTGAAAATTTGAGCGAAATCCGTCGGAAAATTTTTGAGAAATTGACGTTTTAGTGACGTCATGTTCGCCATTTTCGCCTCAAAAACGGCAAAATTTCAAACGCCGCTAACATCTTCATTTTTAAAGGAATCAAGACGTAACAAAAAAGGTTATACGTGATTCTACTTTGTCTATCAAATGGCTATCTCGGTTTTTTGAAAATTTTGGATTTTAGCCAAAATTTTTCCAAAAAACTGACTTTTTTGGGAAAATATATATAAAATCCAAAATTTTGAGTTTATCGAAAAAACCGGAATATATGTCAAAGAACTGGTCTATGTGCACCTACATACCAATTTTTAGAAGAATCGGTTCAAAAATGTGGGAGTTATTCAAAATTTTATGACGTCACGACACACAAAAATTTTGAAAAATGATTTTTTTGGAAGTTCTAGACCTCGTACGGAAACAGAAATAGCACCATTTGATTCGCCGTGAAAAACTGCATCGGATAGACACCTTTTTAGGCCTTAACAACCAACTTCAAAATTTGACCTCACTTGACCTGACCTTGACCTGACCTCGACCTGAAATTCATCCAGAGGTGGTCCATATCACTTATTGAGTGTGCCTATTGAATTCCATGAGTAAAATGACCCATAAAACATGTGTCGCACATGCCCTTCTCTATATTTTGTTTTTGGTGACCTGACCTGACCTGACCTGACCTTGACCTTGACCTTTGAATGACATTGTGTGCAACGAATATTGTCTTGGTAGTCTAAGAACACGTTTTGGGCAATCAGTCTCAGTCCATTCTTCGGCAACTACGGTGCAAGGCCGATACTGTAGAAACTTGCATTTTGTACCCTTGACCTGACCTTGACCTGACCTCTGACCTACTTAAGCAAAAAAATTTGGGCTCTTAAGATCCGCCTTGTTCAGAGCTTTCGATTGCCGTTTTCCCCCGTCTTTCTACGACCATCGGTTCGGAAGTTAGACAGGGGGGGGGGGCAGAATCTGCCCCCCCCAGCAGGGCGCGTATGGCTGAATAGCCCAGCGGGGCGCGGGTTAAGTTTGCCCCTCACTGTAAACGTCTTTTTGAACACAGCACGAGAATTGCTTGCTGAATTACTGAGAAAACTGGTTGGCGCACAATGATTTGACCAGAGGCCTCTTGCACCAAAATCCTCTTGCACCAATGCTTGGATTATTTTGCAACGTATACCCAGTCCAAGCCTCAATTGTAACAATTTGCGTGCAAAATTTAGCAAGCACATGTAGGAGTATGTATTGGGCTATTGCAAACAAATATACCACCGTTAGATTAGCTTATTCTGAAACCGGTTTTTCGATTTTACCTAGCTAGGTAGTTTGGTGCAAGAGGCCTCAGATTTGACAGACGATCAATTTCATCAAATTTATTTACTATTTCACAGACTTGTAGCTCGTATTTGCTAATACCTACAGCCCCACAGGGATAGACGACTTCTCAGGAATTCTGTCTGAACTAATAAATAAATTGCACGGCGCTTAACATAACGTTAAATCGTCGGTGTTCAAAACTTATTTTGAAAATAATATTCATATCTACAATACAATGTGCGCCAACCAGTTTTCTCAGTAATTCAGCTAGCAATTCTCGTGCTGTGTTCAAAAAGACGTTTACAGTGAGGGGCAAACTTAAGAAAAACGAACTATAGGTACTAGTGTGTAATAGATACTCATCATATTTGCTATGAAACCTTTTCACATTTATTGCATTTCTGCTGGATCGTGAAATACACTTCTACAATTTTTCTGACCTGATTCGAGTCAAAGCAAGATGAGTAATGCGCACACGAGGACATGTCACACATCTGTGCGGCTCTGCCTCCAACTTTCTGCGAAGTGCTTACCTTTTTGACGCTATACCAGCGTCCCTCCTTACGCCACTGCCGCAGCCGAAAGGCGTGACATAATGTGGAAAAAGGCTTCATAGCTCGCTTCGCCGCGGTTGGCCGCAGCAAATGAACCTGTCGCGGTTCGGCAGGCATTGGAATGGAAAATGATATAAAAAAAACGGGGGCACTGAGGGACGTTTAGTATTGCCCTGTCTTTGTTCGCACTTGTAAGAATATCCGATGCATGTATTACATCAGTGATAACCTAAATGCGCCTTATTAATGAGAAGCAGTGGCACGATTCGAAAATTTAGGCTTTATTACGTTGTCTAGGTTCCAAAGTATTACACATTGTTTTCTTTGTTTTCATTAATTACTGTTAAGTAAATCAAATGTGAGCATCCACAAATCCGACCGTCTCTTTTCTCGGACGTAAGCAAGCATAGGTGTATCAATTCTGACGTTTGAGGTGATATTAATATGCTATGAAGATATGACGCTTTTGGGCAAAATAACCCCTTGTTTAGAAAAACATGGATATTCTTATATTCTACGCTCCCTATTTCGCGCCCTTTTGGCTAAGTCATCCATGTAATATTTGGCGTACCTACTAAATCCCGCATCCGACCCATAGTGCGTCGGGGAGGAGCTCGTCCGTGCCCCGTGGGATAGTGGCAACCGCCCCAGTCTCACGGAAGGGGTGGGAGGCAGACCAGCCAGCTGCACAAACGGTCAGACCCGTTTGCGGAGGGCTCCTCTGGGGTATGCCCATTACCCAGTACAGTGCGTCTTTGCGGCTGCCGAAGTAGGAATTATGCAAGAAAAAGAAATTCGTTATATGGTGCATCAGAACTCGATAAATGTGCTCTTACACGACCACTTTGGGACTATGATGTACCTTAAGTTAAACTTTACAGCTTTTTGCTAAAATTGAAGGCCTGATTTGTATGAATAAAATAACGGCTGAACGGCTTTTACATTTCGTTACCTTTTTTCCTGTCGACGCGGCCGTAGATGGCGGTGTGGTGGTCGGTCCCTGCAGTAGGCAGCTGCTAGAGGTCGCTGATATGCAGTGAAAATAGTGCACGACACCGTCGGTAGCGCGGTGAGAGGGGAGGGGGAGGGGGTTCCAGCGGCTTCAGGGAGGTCGTGACCACTAGTTGGCGGTAGACTGAGCCCCGGGAGGGGTCGTCGGTGGGCGCAGGACGGACCTGCAGGGGTCTGCGTCTCTAGCCTGTGTCAGTGTGAGGTCATGAGGTGTCCACGGTTGGTGTGTCATTTGAACGTGTGAAGACAGCTTGGACGTCCGACTGGTGGCCGATGTCTTCAACCGTGATCAGAGCTCCCTGAACGGCGCTCTTTACCCCAGCGTACCGAAGCTGGGTCACTGCAGAGCGTCCGACGGAAAACTGTGAGAATTCTGTGATCACGACAGTGCATTGTTTGTATGTGTCCGGCCATTCGTCGCTGGAGACCACACTATTCTCTCCGAATCACAGCCGAACTGCAGGTGAGTGCTCGCCATGTATTTGGTATTTATTTGTCGAACGAAGCAATAGAACGTCGGTAGTATAAAACAATCCTTCCTGGTATGACAAAAACGCTATGAATGATGGTTGCTGTTAAATATTTAGATGAATTTTGTTTATAATTAATAGAGTGGAATATCCAATACCTACAAAGCCAAAAGAGAGAGAGAGAGAGAGAGAGAGAGAGAGAGAGAGAGAGAGAGAGAGAGAGAGAGAGAGAGAGAGAGAGAGAGAGAGAGAGAGAGCTAGAGAGAGAGAGAGAGAGAGAGAGAGAGAGAGAGCTAGAGAGAGAGAGCTAGAGAGAGAGAGAGCTAGAGAGAGAGAGAGAGCTAGAGAGAGAGAGCTAGAGAGAGAGAGAGAGAGAGAGCTAGAGAGAGAGAGAGCTAGAGAGAGAGAGAGCTAGAGAGAGAGAGAGAGAGAGCTAGAGAGAGAGCTAGAAAGAGAGAGAGAGAGAGAGAGAGAGAGAGAGAGAGAGAGAGAGAGAGAGAGAGAGAGAGAGAGAGAGAGGATGAGAGAGAGAGAGATGATGAGAGAGAGAGAGGATGAGAGGATGAGAGTGAGAATGAGGTTGATGGTGAGGGTGAGGGTGAGGATGAGAAAGCAGGAGTGATAGTGTGAGGAAAACTTACTTATGCGTAATTTCACGTTCGCCAGCATTGACCTTTTTACAGCAACTAACGCTGAGGGGGTCGACCCCCGACCGTTTTGCCCTGATCCAGCTAAAGCATCGGTTGGACCCCCCTTGCCGTTTGGCCCCTGATCGAGCTAGAGCTTCGCGGAAAAAACGAGCGTGGTGCCCGTGGCGAGAGGAAATCGATGCTGGCTAATTTTGAGGTCCTAGGTCATTGGTTGATCTCCCAGGTCAGGTCAATGACCCAAAGCCGGGAAAATCAGAATCCGCTAGACTTTCGTAAGTGAGGTTAGTGAGCTTTCTTTTTCGGGGCCCCGATTATAAGTTTTGTGTTGTTAGTTTTTATCAAAGGTGATGTAACATTTGGTATATTCATACATTTGGGGTAGATCGGGTCAATTCAGATCAGGTCAACCAGTAGGCGTCTACTGTTAACCCGCGCCCCGTAGGGCTACCGGCGGACCCTACCACCCGTAGGGGGGGGGGGGCGTTTCGGCCCCCCTAAGATCTCGGAAAGTTACCGTCCGATTTTCAAAATTTAAACGGCGTTCGATAGCCCCACCCGGGAACTACCTTGTGACCAAATTTCATTGACCTAGGTCAAACCGATGACGTCACAGGTCAGGTCAAAGGTCAGATTTTCACCGTTCACAGGCATTTCAAGAAATGTGTTGTGAAATCGAGTAAATTGGTAATTTATTGATAACCATCGATGGTACATTGTTCGTCAAACACATACTTTGCTATCTGAGGTCACTGATACCAGGTCAGGTCACAGCGAGGTCAGGTCACCGGGGTCACAATATGAAAGTGTCGTGTGATACATGTTTTATGGTCCATTTTACATGACAAATGCGATTATGTGGGTTAGGCAGCCTTTGGGGCCAGCCTAGGTCACGTTTTGGTGAAGGTCAGGTCAAGGTCAGGTCAAATTAGGTCAAATTTCAAAGTTGATATTTTTGCATAACATGGGTATCGATTCGATGCAGCTCGTCACGGGGAGTCTAATGGTGGTCTTTGTTTTGCTCTACGAGGTCTAGAATTGCCAAAAATTGAGTTTGAAAATTTGACGTCATCATTTTTGAACAGTTTTTCGCTATAACTTGGCCAAAAAACGAGGTATCGATCTGAAATTTGGTATGTAGATAGAATACGGTAGGTACTATCACATATATTCCGGTTTTTTCGAAACTCAAAAAACTTTTTGGATTTTTTGGCTAATATATCAAAAAAAATGCTTTTTTGATTTTTGGGGGTCAAAACTCCAAAATTTCAAAAATCCGAGATAGCAGTTTTGTAACCCTGTCAATTCTACACCTTTTATGTTTTTATCATTTTTCTGTATCTTCAAAGCTGTAGGCGTGACAGGTCTTCTCGCGAAGGTCTTTTTTCGGTCAAAAATGACAGAACATGACGTCACTCTGACGTCATTTGTGGCCAACCTATCATAGCCTCTGGAAAAATTTTTGGTCACAATGTGTAAAATTGATGCCCGGAGGGGTCCTGAAAGTTTGGTGGCGATATCTCCAGCCGTTTAGGAGATATCGACCGAAAAGGACAGGGGGGGCCGTTTCGGCCCCCCCCCCCTACGGGGCGCGGGTTAACGCCAGACCCCTTGAGACCCTAATTTTTCGCGATTACTTTTAAATGCGTGAAGGAATTTCAACCAAGCTCAGGACATGCAGCCCCCGTTCACGAGCCTCAGAATTCCTTTACCGTGACGTCACGTGGGCGGCAAAAATCCCTTCACCCCATAACGATCCATACAAATGAGGCTGAGTTTTGAGCTGGGCTGACGCCCAGGTTGAGGGCGAAAATATTATAAAAGGCATACTATTTGACTCAGTAAGGCTTGATTTTTCCAAAACCGGGCCTCAATAGGTCGAATTCGAATGAACCAAGCATTAATTTTGCCTTTTAGATGAGGCCTGCAAATTTCGATGAAGTTTTTTCTCGTGAAGGAAAAAATAGTGCTACCAAATGCGTCTTGCGCCGCTTTTGCAAAAGTGTTGCAAAAGTTAGATACTAACGCCATTTTCTATCAATAATATGCAAATTTATTATGATTTTGGCCAAATCGAATGGCAAACATGCACTTAACAATAGCAATACTTCTATGAGGTGCATTGTTTTGGCGAGTGATCTATAGTATGCTTCAAAAATACCACTGGAACTGGAACTTGGCCACTTTGAATACAAGATAATGGGCTGAAGTGTGAAAAAGGCTGTGTTATGCCTTTCAAGAGAAGAAAACATGCCAGTATTGGTCTTTTTAGCACAAATATTTATTTCTAGTGAATATTAATAATGTGTTAAATCATAAAATGTTGAAGTTCACTTGATACGAGAACAATCAACTGATCACCAAAGCAAGGGACCTGGTTGACTGGTCTTGTTGAGTCCATTTTTTACATTTCTCTCATCCAATAAGTACCTAGCTAATTGAGTAGAGTATTGTCTACTATTATAATTTGTGGTTAATACCTTAACATAGCTCCGTCTTTAACAGAAGCTCCGTCTTTATTGATCGGTTACTTAGTGTTTTTGAAGTGATGAAGGATGAAGACAAGTAATTTGTGATTCGCTATCATCATTGTGTCATAGGCCACAATTGCAAGCTTGACAATTTTGGTGGTGACGACAAAAAGTGATATTCCGTTATCCACGCCTTGTGAATGGTTGAGAGGCCTCTACTTCTCTACGTTTCTTTTCTTGCTCAGGAGTAATTGCTATCTTTGGCATACCTTGTTCGCACAAGAAAGGTTCGAGGAACGCAAGGCCGGGAAAGAGAATGTGACTTTAAATGGAAAATGAGGAAAAAAGGGACTCAAAATAAGGTAATTTAAACGATTTTCATAAGTTTTATGGTTTGTTCACTACTACAAACTCACTTGGCCAACTCCTACCAACAAAACGTGACGTCTTTAGTGGAGAACTTTCATTGTGCAATATGCAATAAGACAACGGACGTTATCCATACAGCATCATGTTCGGTCCGGTTTGGAGAACATTTGTTTTGATACTGATTACCCTGAGATGTTTCATTGTTAGCACCGAACATCCAGAGTACAGTCCCCTCAAAGCAAGACTGGTACAAAATGTCGGAATGTTACCCATGCCTCCACGGATGCGATCGTCCCATGCCCACAGAAGATTTAGAAGTTCAAAACTGTACCTGACCGTGCTTCTACTGATACTTTCTGGAGACATTGAGATAAATCCAGGACCGATACAAGTCATGGGCTCCAGGGATGATCAAAATATGAGGAATGATCAAAATGATGTTACTGAAAACTTTCTTCTAAATCGGACCAAGGCACTTCAAAAGAAATTTGATAGTTTAGATCGACCCGACTATTCGATCACGAGTCGCGATGGCATGCAGGTTACCATCAAGCTCAATGCTGCTCTCTTTGAAGTATTTAAGAACGAGTTTGGGAAGCTCATTGAACACAAAGGAATCAGAGTAACTGATCAAAAAAGATCGCATGACCGTACTCGGCTGATAACCAAGTTCTTTGCCAAAATTGAGTTCGAAACTTTGAAAGTGGCCATGACAAGCTATTTTACTACTTCAACTGTTCTCATTCAATCTAACCAAACAGGGCCTGATGGATTGGGAGCAGCCATGATTTTTACGACGTCACACTTAGTCCCCTTCCTAGATCAGCTGACTTCAAGGTTCCAGATGCCTATTATCCGCTCGGATTTGAAGCAAAAACTTCAGAGGTTGATTAAAGATGAGTCAAAATTGTGCAATGTATGTGAAATGCCGCTAACATTCAAGACGCTTAGAGGAAACAAAACAGCCGGAGTACTGCTTTGCGCAGCCAGTATGTGCCAGAATATGTCGCACGTAACTTGCACCCAAGATAGGCGGAGTGATAACTGGCTGTGTTCAAGCCATCACGCACAACCTAAAATGCTCTCTTCGAAGATACTGGAGTCGATCCCCGTTGCAGCTCAAAGTGCTGGCGGACCTTATAAAGGGCCGCCTGCACCGCCTCTGCCTGTGGCACCGGAGCCGACACTTGCTCAGCGAGAGAGGTCACCTGCTCCCCTGGCAGTGGTATCGGAGCCGACATCGCCTCTGTCTATGGCATCGGAGCCGTCCTCTGGCCGGCTAGAGGAGTCAACTGCACCGCCGCTGCCTGTGGCACTGGAGCCGACCCCAGGCCAGCCAGAAAGTTCACCTGCACCCCTGGCAGTGGTATCGGAGCCGACAACGTCCCTTCCAGTGGCACCAGAGCAGCGAGAGAGGTCGCCAGTTCCGTCCCTGCCCGTGGCAAATGTACCGGCACCGCCCCTACTAGTGGCACCGGAGCTGACCATTGGCGAGCCAAAGGGGGA